GTTTTCAGTGGACACCAGAGTCCATTGCACACCGTAGCATAGCATCAGGCTTGCCCGGCTCCGAGTCAGAGTGCCTGTGCTCCGCATACCGACATGGTACCTTCGTGCCTAGAAGTGGCAGGTGAGCCAGATGCAGAAATTCTGTGGCCCTACTTGAATCTGGACAGACTCTACTAGAATTTGAGCAGAACCACTTGCTCCATCTTGCAGACAGGAAGCCGAGGTTTCACTCCCAGATGCTATTCCTTGATCTCCAGTTCACCTCCAGCTTGTATTGTTTTGCTTACTGTTTAAATGGGCTTAGGAAGGAGGAACTATTGACTCCATTTTACAGATAAGCAAACTGAGGCCTTCCCTAGAAGAGTAAAGTGGCTTAACCCAGAGGTCCCTTCCCAGCTCTTCTACTCTGTAGTTAGTGCCACTCACGGTTAGGTCGGCACGGTTGCTGCCTTGGTACCTCCTGTACTCCATGCTTGATTTAAGGAGGGGAACTGGGTCTCATTACACAGCCCTGGCTGGCCTAGAGCTTGCTGTGTAGACCGGGTTGACTTCAAACTCGCAGAGATCGGCCTGCCTCTGCCTCCCAAGTCCTGGGCTCAAAAGTGTGCAGCCCCACGTCTGGTCCGTTTTCTGTTTTGTTTTGCTGTTGGGTTTTCCTGGTTATAAAGTCTCTCTGAAACTGGCTTTCCCAAGAGGAATCCAGAAAGGGTTTGAGCCATGGGGCCTGGTAAGGAATTCTGATGAGGGGCCAGGCCTGTGGGGGTGGATTCCTTCATTTTGCTAAATTGGTTAAGCAAACGGTGTCTTGTTACTTTCTGGCCTCAACAGATCTATCGTTTGGGTCAAGTACTTATCAAGCAAAGGATATATATTCCACGTATGTCAGCCTCCAGGGTGGGGCCCTTGATTTCCCTGCTCAGAGGCTGTGGCTGGGCTGGACTCGTGAGTACTCGGTAAATACCAGTTAAATTTGGGGAGTGGCTTGGTAGTTTGGGAGGCATTTATGCTTTGTCTCTTCTGTAGCTAGAGTTTTCCTGCCTTGCCCACAGTCAGGACAAATCTCTCTCACCCACCAGTCCCACAGACGCTCAGACCCGACCAAGTAAACACAGAGACTTATATTGCTTACAAACTGTATGGCCGTGGCAGGCTTCTTGCTAACTGTTCTTATGGCTTATATTAATCCATTTCCATAAATCTATACCTTGCCACGTGGCTCGTGGCTTACCAGTGTCTTCACATGCTGCTTGTCATGATGGCAGCTGGTAGTGTCTCCCTCCGCCTTCCTGTTCTTTCTTTTCTCCTCTCTGTTAGTCCCACCTATACTTCCTGCCTAGCCACTGGCCAATCAGTATTTTATTTATTTACCAATCAGAGCATTTGACATACAGACCATCCCACAGCACTCTTCAGTGGGCCTTCCTTCCTCATGGTAACAGGCGCTTGTGATAGAAAACTTGGAAAATAAAAATTTTTAAAGATTTAAAACAACAACAAAGAACTTCCATAAGCAGCACCTGAGTGAGCGCCACGGGCTTTGGGGTGTGCTTTCTTCCTGGCATTTTCTGTTTTAAAATAGATTTATTTTATTGTTCGTGTGAATGCAGGTGTGTCTGTGTGTGGGTAGGTGCATGTTAGTGTGGGTGCTTGCAGAGCGTCTGATCTGGAGTTGGAGGGACAGATGTGGAGCTGCCTGTGATGTGAACTGAACTCAGATCTTCTGGAAGAACACCATCTCTCTGGCCTCCACTTCCTGACATTTTCAACACCACACCATGGTCATGCTGTACTTATAAGTTTCTGTTCTTTTTGCTTTTTTCTCAATATTATAGCAAAAATATTTTCTCATGAAGGATTCTTTAGACTCAAGTTTTAAAAGTGTTCTCAGGTTTACTATACCCAAGTAGGCAAGTGCATACTTATTTATTCTATATAAACTCTTACTCTTATGGTCCAGAAGATTAAAATGATAGAATAATATGTAGTTAGTTTTTTTACTCTTTGGGGGCCCACCACCCAGCTCCTAAATAAATACATGGAGACTTATTCTTACTTATGAATGCCCAGCCTTAGCTTGGCTTGTTTCTAGCCAGCTTTTCTAACTTAAATTATCCTGCCTGTCTTTAACTACATTTTGCCCCTGGGCTTCTTACCTTTCTTTATTCTATATATCTTTCTTTCCTTCTTACTCTGTGGCTGGCTGGGTGGCTGGGTGGCTGGGTGGCTGGGTGGCTGGGTGGCTGTCCTTTGGCATCCTCCTCTCCTTTTCTTGCTCCTCCCTCTTCTCTAGATTTCTCCTATTTATTCTCTCTGCCCGCCAGCCCCACCTATTTCTCTCTCCTGCCTTGCTATTGGCCACTCAGCTCTTTATTAGACCATCAGATATTTTAGACAGGCAAAGAGACACAGCTTCACAGAGTTAAACAAATGCAACATGAAAGAATGCAACACATCTTTGCATCATTAAACAAATATTCCACAACATGAACAAATGTAACACATCTTAAACTAATAATCCACAATAATAATATATTTAAATTAATTTTTTTTTTTTTGGTTTTTTGAAACAGGGTTTCTTTGTGTTGTTTTGGTGCCTGTCCTGGAACTCATTCTGTAGCCCAGGCTAGCCTGGAGCTCACAGAGGTCCACTTGCCTCTGCCTCCCACGTTCCGGGATTAAAGGTGTGTGCCACCACCACCCAGCTAATTTTATTTTATTTTAAAATTTTCCTTTTCCTTTTCTTTCTTGGTGTTGGGCATCAAACTCAGTGCTTCACACATGCTGTGCAACGTCTCTACTGTACTCTCAGCCCTGTTTCTGGTAAATTATAAAAGTGATGTATGCTAACTTGATTTTCATCAGTGTTATTCCACCCTTGGTGGACAGGTAGGTACCTTCACTTACCAATCATCTAACATCACACATTTAGGTTGTTCATAAACAATACCATGTTGAACACCCTAGTGAGTAATTTTTTTTATATGTTCTTTTAAATTTTTTTATTTAATTTTTTATTTGTATGTGCACATGCATGCCATGCCAAGGCAGGGGTCACAGACAACTTTATGGAGTATGTTCTCTCAGGCTTGGGGTCCTCAGGCTCGACCGCAATTCCTTGGACCCACAGAGCCACCTCTTGCCCCTTCATTGTGACAAAAGGAGTTCCTGGCTCAGTTGTGAGACATTCAACAGCGTTTGCTATATTTTTCCAAATTGTTATTCAGAAAGGTTGCAGTGGTTCACGTGTGGTCCTGTGTTCCTGCCATCATTGGCGGGGAAAACACATTCTTGAAGGAGCTCTGTAGCTGGCTATCAGGAGTCCAGCAGGTCTACAGACCATTTCCCTGAAACATCAGACTTCAACTCATTTTCTCAGCAAATCTTTTTGCACTGACCAGTATCAGAAGAGGGTGGGGTTGAGACTCTCTTTCCAGCTTCTGCTTTGCGCTTGCGGTTCGGACCCGGATTGGATCGCCTCTCTGCAGAGGGAACCTTATTCTCTTTGTACTTGTGGTTCAGTCTCAGAGTGGATCGCCTCTCTGCAGAGGGAACTTGGTTCTCTTTGTACTTGCGGTTCAGACCTTGAGTGGACTGCCGCTGTGCTTTGGTTTCCTCAAGGGTAAAGTTAAGATTTTAACACTAGCTTCCTACATTTTTGTTAGTTTTTTTTTGTTAAGACAGGGTTCCCTACAGCCCAGGCCAGCCTTGAACTCACGATGTAGCTGAGGATGGTCCTGAACTCCTACCTCCATTATAAGTGCTGGGATTATAGTCACGCACCACTGTGCCCAGGTTTACCTGCTGGACAAGCACTCTGTCAGCCGAGCCCAGCCCCAGCCCTTTCCTGGGGTTCTGAGACTGCAGATGTGCCGAGGATGTGCCGCTTCCTCAGCGTAGATCATCCGGACTCTCAGAGCTGTTGTTTTCTCCATCTGATTCAGAGCACCCTGGAGCCAGAGCAGAATGGTGAGGGCCGTTGTCTTCGTACGGTCACATACATGTTAGTGACTTCTCGAGCTTCAGGTCAAGTGGAAGCCAGTGGAGCTGTGTCATTCAGAGTGGATTTTCATGGGCTAGCCTAGGCCCTGTCCCCTTGCATGCTCCCAGACTGTTTCTCTATAGAGCATGAAGACACTTGGTTCTAGAATACTTCTTCAGGAGCTGGGAACTGCCTGCCTGCCTTTAAATGGCCTTTTTTTTTTTTTTTTTTTTTTT